GCCTGCAGTCCCACCTACTTGGGAGGATGAAGCAAGAGAATCACTTAAGCCCAACAGTTTGAGGTTGCTGTGAGCTGTGATGCCATAGCACTCTACCAAGGGCAACATAGTGAGACTCCATCTCAAATAAAAAAGAAATCTCTCCTTCAAGCTGGAGTCTATGTGATGGTATGTCTGTACCCAGTAGCCTGCAGCTTTCTAAATCATCACTATAAATGACAAACAGATAACCTTTTACACACAGGAGAATATGTCTCTGAAATTAAAAGCAGCCCTGCTTGTCTCCTGGGTCACAGGTAAGTTGAACATCACATACTGTTGAATTTCAGGTCCAATTCTTAGAGTTCAGGCTCCATACATGCATCTGAAGTAGGGCCAGTGTAGACGCAACATTGTTTACCCAGCTAGCCAAGGGCTGCACACTAGAGCCGTGCTGGCTAGCCATGGCCAGGCTCAGAAAGGGGCCTTGGCACTGGAGCCCAGCCTCAACAGACTGTCTGTTACATCTCCTGAGACATTTGCTGTGTCATGTCAACCTGGTGCCAAGCCTGGCTCAAATCCCTCCCACATTCCTCACTCTTTCTAACATCGTAACTTTGAGACAAGTGACACTTTACACAAACAACTGGGGAGACCTCTAAAAAGTACTCCCTTCCTCCACTGACCCCTTTCCCCACCCTCTACATATATTACACCTATTGCCAAGTGACAAAAGGCAAACAGAGCCACTGTATGCATTGCTGCTTCACAAAAGCAAAAAAGAGGACAGAGATTTCATCTGGGGATAGTTTCCCACTATCAAGCTCTAGAGGCTGAGTTAAGAAAAAATTGCAAAATAACATAAACCAAACTCCAGTGCAATTCTGGAGTAACATCATGGGTCATTATAAAGAGCTACAGTAAATGAATGTGATGCCCATACCAGATACTTGATAGTTTCTGAGCTGAAATCTCTCCTTTGACGTTAGGAACTATAGCAGTGGAAGAAGAGTCCCCCTGGCCTCCCAGTGGAGTCAGATTATGAGGTGGGAAGAATGAGCTCTGCCGCCTGGCTGAGGTCTCATAGTAGACTATGCCACTTCAGAATGGCATTCTGAGCCCAGCGTGGGGAAGTGTGTCAGCCGGGGGACAGTCCGGGCAGATCAGCCAGCTCTCCCTCTGCCAAGGCCCTATCACTCCCTCTGCAGATGTACAGCCAAGGTATGTCCTGCACACAGCCTCTGGAGTCGCATGGGGAAGCCCTCGTTCATTCAATTTAGAAACATAACATAAAGCCCTTGGTGAAAAGGACAATAGCAGGCAGCAGCCATCTGTCTTCTCTGCTCCTGCTCCCTGCTCTTCCCGCACAGGGCAGCAACATTCAAACACTGGTCGCTCTCAAAGTGTGATCTTCAGTCCCAGCTTCTCTGCTGAGAGCTTCGCATTTATTGGCATTATTTCTAGGGGCCCTTTCTCAACTTCTATATCTAACCAATGACTAAGTCCTGTCAATTCCATTTCCCTACCTCTCTGAACACATAATGCACCTCGACTCTTGCTGCCCACATTTCACCAATTCTTATCTGGAGCACTGGGAGTGCCCCTGTGAGTCTTCATGGCCTCCACCTCCCTTGCCTGGAGTTCATCTGTGCTGCCACCGACATTGGCCATTAGACATCAACATTCAGTCCCTACTCAAATGCTGCCTTTCCAAACACAACTTCTGCCACTTCCTAGCATAGCCTGGCACACCAGTGTCCCGTATCACTGCATCATTCCAGAAAAGCCGTCGTGGCCACACTGCCTAAGCAACAGTACATCTTGCCACTTCATCTCTACCCACAACTCTTACTTGTCCTTCAAGAAGTCTTGGACGCAAACGTCATCTCCTCTGGGAAGCTCTCCCCAATCCCTCCAGCTGTGAGTCATGCCCTCCTGTCCGTTTCCCCATCATTCCACACACTTCCATCCTACGACAGCACATTGAATAGTGGTGACTGTTCACTTGCTGGTTTCCCCCGAGTTGATGCCATAAGGTCCCCAAGGTCAGGAATTGTATCTTGATCTCTGCAGAGTGGAGTGTGCGCTCAGTAAGTGCTGCTGGATCCATCACTCAGCATGCACTTGAACATATCTGAAGGGTGTACAGAGAGTTAAGGAAAGGGAAGGAAATTTTTTGATGGCCAGGATACTTGTCTAGCCCCTTGCTGCCTCCGAGTTGTGACTGAAAATTTATTGACGTCTCCAGGATTTAGCTACTCCTCTGTTGAATGGGGGCTGGGACCATGTGATTTCTGCAGTCCTAGCAGCCAGACTGTATTTTCCTTTAAAATCTACAATGAAAAAGACTATAAAACCCCTTGGTAATAATATGTTCCAGGAGTTTGGACGCTCTCCACAAAGCCAGAGGAAAATTGCTACTTTGCCAGACCACTAGGCAGAGCTCCCACGGACAACTAACAACTGAGGTTCCTCCCTCTCTCATGAATCCCCAACTGCCCTCTGTTACATCTGGGGGAAAATCCCCGGTTGTCCTCCACTCTATTTCATCCCTGAATATTTTGGCTTCAAAAAGTGGCTTCAATATCACACACAAGAAAAAAAAAGCAGCCTCAGAACAAAAACCTAAAATGCCCTGAGAATAACAAGTGCTAATAACATAACTGCTGAATTTTGAAAATTCAGGCCTGATGATAATCACCTCGTCACCCCGTACTCCGGGGGCGGCTGGTACCGCAGGACAGCCACTTCTGTTCTCGCAGGCTGAGGAGCAGGGTAAGGCTTGACCATCTCATGCAGCATCCCCGAGTGCTGGTCACTGTAGAAAAGTCCGTGTTCCTGGGTCTTGCTGACAGGGGACATCATTTGCTTGGTCTTGAAGGGGTACTCGGGTGGAGGACCTCGAGGGTCCAGCACTTTACCTGCAGGCTGGGCCGGGGCGGGTCCGCCTCCTGCTTTGAAGCCCTTCCCGTTCCCAGGGCCAGGGAGGTGTTGCTTGGCACCGTTCCTCTCCAGCGACAGCTGCATGATCCTCTCACTGAGCGAGCGGACGTGGCCCTGCTTCAGTTCTTTCAGCGCCTCGTCCTTGTGCGCCTGTCCGCTGTTGGCCCGGTTCACTGTGGGCCTCCCCTCGGTGCGGGACTTCTGACTGGCCCCCCCAGCCAGGTAGTAGCCGTGGCCCACTGCCCCCTGCTGCTGCTGCTGCTGCCCCCTGAAGAACTGCGACTGGGCTTTGGCCTCCTCGTAAGTGGGCAGTTCCTCATTGTTCTGCTGAGGCTGCGTGGTCCGGACCTGTTTCTCCATCACCGTGTTGTCCACCTGGTGTTCTTGACCCTGCGGTTCCTGGCGTGCCGACTGGTAGACCATTTGTGGGTCTTCTTGAGTGAGGTTTTCCGTGGAAGAAAAGTTGTTTGTAGGGTGGGCTGGTCCTGCGCTCCCTGTGGCCTGGTGCTGAATGGCCAGCAAGTTCATGTTCTCAGTCGGGGTGCCATAGCGCAGTTGTTCCTGGATCAGCCGCTGCAATACTGTTCCAGCTGCCGCATCCTCGGAACCTCTCATTTCCACCTCTGAGATCCTCGGGAAGTTTGGGGAGTGGAAGTTACGAAGAGGATCCTCAGCTAAAAGGCAAACACAGAATAAGAGCTATTAGGCTGTTCTCCTGGAGATACATGTCTGACTATTAACCTTCTAGTGCAGCGGCATTTAAAGACTCCAAACATACCATCACCTCGACTGACCAGGTGACATCTCCTGGACATGTTTCTCCAACTCCGAGCGAGTCCCCACTCCTCCTCTCCCTTCTCCTTCATCTTCCCAAACCTTCCTCCAGCCTTCAACCCCTGCCTCGCCTTTACTCACTCCATTGGTCCCTTCTCTTCATCACATAAACATACCCAAGTCTTTCCCATCTTAAAAAAATACAGGTGAAAACCCTATTGTCCTCAACTACTGCCTCACAGCCTACATCTCTACAACTACCAGCTGATGGCCCCTGAGTCCTTCTAACTTAACATACATCCATCCCTTGCACCCTCCCACCTTCCATGGCCTGTATCTCTCCTTTCCCTTTCTTCCATTGTCTTCAGTAAACACCCTACATCGGCTGTCTCTGCTTCCCAAAAGCTCTACTCACTGCCCTCCCCACTGCTCTGATCAGTGAGTATGTTACAGCTCTCACGTCACATACTCAACCTTTCCCTACCCATCCCAACACTGGTATCTCCCATCCCAACACTGGTATCTCCCATCCCAACACTGGTATCTCCCATCCCAACACT